ATATACTACCTCAAAATTTGTTATCCTAAGACATTACCACAATTTTTAGAAGTGTTTTTCCTATAGCACATTGAACCATGATGCTCGGTCTCTAGCACATAGATTGTACAATGTTCATGAGAAATTCAAACAAAGATAAAAAAAAAACATTTTTAAGGGGAAAACTAGAGGGATCAGATGGAAATTCTACATGCCTAAAATAGCTGGCTCCTTCCTAAAAACAATGGGCAAAACTAGCAGATCGTTTTTACCTGGCATACATTAAATAGGACAGCATTGGATGTATCTCTAGTGACGATCTTCACAGATCACAAAACAAATAAGTATGAATTTATTTAGAGATATCCAGCCAGCCAACCTACACTACTACAGAAATGATGAGGTGGTCACAATTGCTCGTCTTCCAAAATGGATTTATGGAGGCGGACGTTTTAATTATTTACGCAGGCAGTGGGATTATGCACATCTCCTAAAGTCCATTTACGGAGGCGGTCAAATCAATTTACGGATGTGGACATTTTAAGAGATCTGCCTCGGAAAACGGAGGCCATTTTCGGAGGGGAACCTCTTGCGAGGCCCACCTCTGTTGCTCGTGGCCGAGGCCCAGCCTAAGCCCAAATCAGGCTTCTATTGGGCTTGTATATAAGCAGCCGTTAGTGTTTTCCTCTCTCTCTCTCTCTCTCTCTCTTTCTCTCTCTCTCTCCCAACCATGGTGCACGGTGCCTCTCCCTCTCCCTCTCCCCCACAGCCCGAGCCCGAGCGGTGGTGACGTCCGAGGGCGAGCGGGGTGGCGTCCGAGCCCGATCCCGAGCAGCTCCCGGTGTGGATCCAGCCTCAACCAGAGACACGGCGGCGGATCCAGCCAACAACCGCTAAACGATGGCGGTGGGGGCATGGATCTGGTCACCAGCAACAGCGGGGACGAGGATCCGACACCACCAAGCGGATCCAGCCATCGGCGGCTGCGGGCGCATGGATCCGGCCACGAGCGAGTAGATCCGGTCACCAGAGCCGGCAGCACAAGGACAGGTGGTGTTTCTAGCCATAGGCCAGTGGATCCGGTCACCAGAGCAAGCTCCCAGCACAAAGGGTGCAAGGGTAGGCGTAAGGCGGATCTGGCCACAAGTGAGCGTGTCCGGTCACCAAAGCCGTGGTGCAAGGGCGGTGGCGTTTCTAGCCACGAGCGAGCGGATCTGGTCGTGAGCAGAGCAAGAAGCAACATTATTAGGGTTTTCCTCTTAGTCTCTCTCTCTCTCTCTCAGCTATCCATCTCTCCTCTCCCCCTCAATCGGTAGGCAGGGCGCAGTGCCTCTCCCCCTCTCTCTCCCCCAAAGCCGAGCCCTAGTGGTAGAGACATCCAAGTGTGAGCGGGGCGGCTTTCGCTCTCGAGCCTGAGCAGCTCCCAGCGTGGATCTACCCTCCAACCGACCACCGGTGGCAGATCCAGCAACCAACCGCTCATCGAAGGTGGTGGGGAGTGGATCTGGTCACCAGCAGCGGCGGGGGCGCGAATCCGACCCCAACAAGCGGATCCAGCCATGGGCGGCTGCGGGCGCGTGGATCTAGCCACAAGCGAGTGGATCCAGTCACCAGAGCCGGCGGTGGAAGGGCTAGTGGCGTTTCTAGCCACGAGGGAGCAGATCTGGTTACCAGTAATCTCCAGGTGCAAGGATTCAAGGGCGGCGCAAGGGAGGATCCGGCCATGAGCAAGCGGATCCGGTCACCAAAGTCAGGCGGTGCAAGGGCGGGTGGCGTTTCTAGCCATGAGCGAGCGGATCCGATTACGAGCAAGCTCCCAAAGACAAGGTGCAAGGGGCGGTGGAAGAAATTTGGCGCAAGGCGACCACGAGTGACCGGATCTGCCACTGCGGTGCAAGGGTGGGTGGCGTTTAACACCCTAAAGTTTGCATTCTTTTGAAATAGGTGAAATTGATTTAATTATGCAATTATGTGAGCCTTCAAACTTAGGGAAATAATAATTTTTATGAAATTAAAATCAACTATAAGGATAGATACATGTTGATGCATTCATGCTGCTACACTTTTTATTTTTGTGATGTATAGTTTTGACCCAATCAGAAAAAAGGTTTTCAAATGCTTTTGGAATTGGAATTGAAAAGCTCTAAAATAAAAAGAAAAAGAAAATTCTATTCCTTTTCACCCTCTCGGCTTTTTGGCCCAGACCGCCCCTGTTGCCCTTTCTCCATGAGGTCAAGCATCGCTTTCTTGGGCCGGCCCAGCTGAAAGCAACCGCAGCACAAGCCGCAGCACAGGCACACTCCCTTCTCGCTCTCTCTGTTCAGCGACGCCTTGGGGCCCAGTAGCTCTGATGTACCCCTACATCCCTCCTGCTCTGATTGGATGCAGTGGCACCTAACGACAGCAAAGCGCCTTGGATTTCTCGGCGTTTGGCGCAATTTCTGCGCAAGCCGCTCTATATAAGCCACCGCCCTCCTCAAAGCCTCTCTTTTCCAATCTCGAGCAGCGCCGCCCTTCCCTCAGAGCTCATGGCGCCCACTGCAAACCTAACCGGAGCTGCCGCCCGTTTCCGCCCGGCCGTCATTTGCTCCGTCATCTGCAACTCGTTGCCAAGGTCAGCGTCAAGGTGACGAGGCCGAAATGCCTTTTCGCTTTCCGTTTTAGCCCTCTTTGCTTTCTCATGTCGCGTCGCCGACGCGTTTACAGTTCTGTCGTCCGCCATTTCTAGCCGCCTCCGATCCATATCCTCCTCGCTTTTCTCGTGGTGAGTTCAGATTCATCTCCTCTTTTGTACCGTGCCATTCCCGAGTCGAATCGTGGTCTCTAGGTCCGTATTCTTGCGCGCCGGCGAGCTATGTCGCCGCCGGCCATGGAGGTCTGCTGCGTCGTTTCCGCTCTTGCTTCCCATGCCCTCGGTTCGTTTCTCCGTGGCCCGTCCGGCTTAATCTGTGCTTTCGTCGGCGAAGTCTCACAACCGCCATGGCTGGCCGCCATGCCTGCCACTGTTCCGCCGCCTGCCATCTCTCTCTTCCCCTCCGATCTAATCTGGTCATCCATCCTCGATCCAACACCCAGATTTGGCCATACCCTTCATCATGGCTGTTTTTCTTAAGAGTCCTCCATTTCCTCTATTTTGAACCGGCGGTCCTCGGCGAAATTGAAATCCTGTTTTAGATTTATTTTTATTCGAAAATAGTTTGCGGTAATTACTGAAATTGCCATCCAGAGCCCATTTTCATCGTACCTTTACCATTTTAAATCCGATTTGGGGATTTTTCGGCGTCTGTGTGTTCGTGATGCGACATGTAGAATAATTTAATAAGTTTTTTAAACATGTTTTTTCCTCTGTTCTAATCATAGCTCTTGTTTGCTTGTGCATGATTGCGTGGATGTATGTGTGTTGCTTTATTGACGATCGAGTATAGACGGTGAGCATTACGACGGTGATCAAGGCCAATACTTTAACGACTAAGCGGGACCAGGAGGAGTTCGTTGATCAAGGCAAGTATAGCGTGGGATCTCCTTGTTCTCCTATTCACCATTTAATTAATTAGTCATATGCATGTGTCTAATGTGTTTACCCGTAAGGACATCCTAGTTATTGTTGTCTTGTTCCTTGTTACCGATGGGTTATACTTGCATATGGGTAGTTTGCTAGCGCTCAGTTTAATTATACATGATCTGAACAATGACTAATGGTTTATAAGCAACAAATGTTAAAACTGGCTTTTTAGCAACTTGAACATAGGGGATAGAGCTCTTGTTTTATCATGATGCTCTTGGCCTCCCTAAGGACTTATCTGTGGGCAAAAGCTAGGACATACAGTACAACCGAGAGTGTCACATGGCTTTGGCTTTAGCTCAGTAGTATGACCTTTTTCTAGCTTGTTAGTGATTACCCGAAAGGGTGCAAAAGGGGCCTGCCGAGCTGAGTATAGTACGGCCTCTGTCAATATGTGTATAGCCTGCGCGGAATGTGCCATTCAAAAGGGGGCTCCATATTCCCTTGCCGGGGAAACCTAGCGGCTACTAACTTGTCAGGGAAATCTTTGAAAGGCTTTATAGTGAACCCTGCTGACCTTTCTTGGTAGTGGGTCAAGAGATTAGCTACCTCAGGCGAAAGGGTAAATCACGGCTCGCTGTGAAAGTATACAACCTTTGCAGAATGTAGAACTGGTATATCAGTCGTGCTCACAGACACAAGCGTCCCGAAAAACACATAATAGAGAACTATTATTGTTGTTAATTAATTGTGAGATAAATTGTTGTTTTATATGATCATGTGGTATAATTGGGGCTTAAGCACAACTAAATGCTAATATAGTGTTAAAATTTGTGACTTAATAAAAATGCTAACCGCGGTACAACCAGTGTCGGCCTTTTGAGCTTCATAACCCCATGTTATTCTTGTTAACTACGAGATGTACTTATGCTTGTTTATTTTAATTATTTGGATAAAAATCCCGGATGGATAACAGATGGCAATGGTTATGAACACTTTCCTGAGGATTACTAGACTTGTGGTTCACCGGTCGACGTTCCTTATGGAGTTTGGAGGCTCTCGTGGAGACTAGTTATCTAGTTCTTCTGCTTTTATTATAGACTTGATTCTTTTGTAAGGAGTTATTATTCGTGATGTAATGAACACTTGTGATGATACTTTATAATTTGTTAGCTTATGTGTATGACTGATCTCTGGACGCACATAATATTTATGCATCCCATTTTATCCTTAAAATTGGGTGTGACATGGCGGCTCCCGGCGGTGCTCGCTGGGGTGGATCCAGGTACCGGGATTGGTGGGCCACTAGACTCAGTGGGCTTTTTTTAATTCATGAAATTATTTACGCAGGCGTGCATTTCTGTTGGCCTATGTTATTTTGATTAACCCAGGCAGTCATTTGCGCCTGCCTACGTTATTTTGATTAATGTAGACCTTTCATGCAGGCGGACTTGTTGCCTGCCCCGGGATCTGTTTTGCTCGCCTGGGATAAGTTCTCTCTAGTAGTGCTAGTGACTCCATGGCTTCAAATTCAGTTGAAGTTGATTCAGATGCGACCATCTCTGACCTGAGTTCATCTGGTGTCCCGGTTGACGAAATACCTCCTCCTGTGCTAGATGCACAAGAAGAAGAGGTTGCAATGGAACAACGGAACAAAGAGGTTGACGTTCCCAAATGGTTGAAGGATCTAAAAAGGTTACCAAGCTCAGGACTAGAGAGCCTTTGCTCGCAAAAGATTTAATGGGCATATTGATAGGGTGAGTACTTCTTTCAATCAGCACTATTGTCTAATGAAACATACTTACACTCATGTCAACAATAAGTTATTCGAAACTGCCATTTCTAGTGCACCTTGTTGTAGTATTCATGATTTATCATAGTATTCTATTTATTCAAGACATTTTCTCATGTAGTGCTATGATGTTTGTATATGACTTGCTTTTGCTAAAATACACGCACTAGGGGTCATAGCATCTAATAGGATCTAGCTTCCTCCTTTGCACTACATAAACACTAAGATAAGAGAAGATCTTGGTCACTGATGTTGTTGTCTACCTTTGATTGTGCTGCCTTTGCCTAGTGCTGGCTAGACCATGAACATTATTCTATAGCTGCAGAGCCATGATGGGGTACTACCAATTCTTCTGCCTCGGGCTGAACAGATTTTTTCTTATCTATTGTTGGTGAGAGGGAGAAAGTGATAGGAAGGGAGAGGCCATTAGCCACATCCCATAAATAATTTGATCAAGTGACCTTTGCCAAATGTACAGGGATGGTTCGGAGCAAGAAATATTGTTAGCCTGAAGTCATTATTGTGTCTCGAGTTCTGATAACAAGCCTACAAATCTGTATTGAATTTCTTTATTAGCAATTGATTTATAATGTCATGTTCCCTGAAATACCACAGTATTAATGGGAAAACATACACTAAATTATAGCTGTGCATTTGATTTTATCTTTCATGACAAGATCTATTAGTTGTTGAAAAATGTTTGGATTTTAATTTTATGTCGATGTTATTTAAATTTTGTATGAGTCATTTTCACAAAACTGTTCACTTGTTCACATGTATGTAACAAAATTGAAGTTCAAAGACAAACAAATCTGGAGACATCATGTACATGTACCAAGTGTAAAAATAAGAATGTTCTTTCATCATATGGAGTAACATATGTTGTGAATATGGTGGCCCATTGTACTCTGCTAGTTGTATGTTTCCGTACATGATGAGCCAATTATACTCTTTGCGCTCATAATCCAATATTTTCTGATTACTTATTAATGGTGGAATGGTTTAAAAAAACTCAGGACTGTGGGGGTATGCATACTTCGAGCATTAAATATTAAAGTAGATGACTTCTCACTCAGTCCAAGAAAAACCCCAAACCTTAGCTCCGGCGCTGCAATTTGACCCAGTGGGGGATGGAACCTAGGATACAAGGGTGCCACCCGGAGTGCTTGACCAGCTGGTCTAGCATCCCAGTCGGCATGGTGGAACGGTTTATGAAATTCTAATAAGAACCTTATGTGGATAAATCATACCTATTAACCTTCCAAATTTATTCATGGATGTCTAAGATGGGCCCCTGTGTGTTTTGCATCAACGTAGTTTCACAGCATATTCCAAGCATGTCGTTTGTTACTGTGACCTTGTTTACAGAAAATTTTTGTAGACTGAATGGTTCCTACATATATATTGTAAATGTGATAATATTCTTCTAATCGGATATGGGTATGTTTTCTAGACATGCGGACTCATTGTGTGAAATATGATACTGATCCTCAAGTACATCTTTTTTGTATAGACTTACATTCATAAGGACTACCGCCACCAGTTCCGTTCCAAAGGTGAAGTTGAACTGTTTGTGGAATCTGAAGGAATCGAAAATGGCATATTTAAAGGAAGAAAATTACAAAAGAAGGTAACAGCACTACTTGAGAAAATCATACCTCAAAAATATATAACTTGCCACATTTTCTGAAAATTCATTGCCATGAATACTTTGAAGGTTAACATTTCCTGGTCTTCTAGGTTTTCTATGCAACTTTTTTTATTAGAGTACCTTTTTAATTTGATGTCCTACATTTTGTCCATAAAGAAATATATCGATTTTTTCATTTGGTCTATGCAGAAGATAGCTGGTATGGATGCTCAAGATGCCGGTATGCCCTTCATCTAAACAGATCAAATATGTTTTCAAATTACGTGTAGAAAGTTTTTATTCGAGTTAGGGTTTACATAACATATTGGGTATACAGGAACAAGTAAATCTGCTGGAAGAAGAGCATCTGCCAACCATGCTAGACCAAAATGTTCGCTTGGCCTGAGTCGTCCAATGGATGATGAAGAGATGGCTCCTGGTTTTCCTTAGATTCTTAATATCAACTTTCTGGAGAATAAATAAAGGTATTTGGTCACCATGCATTGCCATGCTTTCTGTGAGAATAAGCTCAACAATAGCACCAAACACTTGATGCTTGCTATGGAGGAACAATCTTTGTATGTTTGTGATCCCTAAACTGGTTGTAATAATGTGTTTCATTGTAAACACTTTTTAGTACTATATGGTGGAACTTATGTTTGAGAAATATTTGTTCTGTCGGATTTACAACACTTTTTAGTACTATATTGTGGAACTTATGTTACTATGGTTGAGAAAAATCTATTTTATTGGATTTAAATAATCGTCATCGGTCCTATTAGTTATATAAGCTAGACGGTCAGTTTGAAGCAACCCTTTATATGCAACTTGTATTCATATATAAACTAGATCATCGGTTTCAAGCTATCCAAAATACCTGTATCAGAAGCTGGTATCAAGGATAATAGATATTTCTATCTACATCACCTCTGCCTCACAAAAAAAACATAGCTCTTTTACGATGGTTGGGAAAGTACCATTGGTACCTCGAGGTACTTTTATTTTTTCTATTTTCTAGATAAATAATTGAGGAAGATTGTTTACAAAATATAATTCTTATCATAGAGGGTATCTTGGTAATTGAGGTTGTGCCCTCTCAAACTAGGCAGAACCCTCTGACGTTGTCCCTATGCGACCTGCCTTCCTGTAGTCAAAAGGGTGCGTGCCGCCGCATTCGGCCCCGCCACCACCAGGCCTTATTAAGCGTTGCTGCCCCTGCCGCTTAGTGGCTGTTCTCCCTTGATTCTGCACTGAAGAACTTGGGCATCTTGCGTTTGGGTGGGCACCGACACCACCGCCACGTATGAGTAATAGAGGTCACTCCCTCGTTGTCTATCCTCACGCCAGGCCTGGAAGTAGGCTGCCGTCATGACACCAAGATCCATGCGCTAGCAACGTTGACCCCATTCGACATTGATTAGTGGCATGCCAGCATCAACGTCATATTCCAGTACGCCATGGCAGTGACCTCCGTTATCTCATCAGCGGAGTTCAGTGTTTAACAACGGGTACTTCCAATTTGTGTGACAGTGACGAATGTGAGTTTGAGTTTTGAGTATGATATAGTTAAACCAAGAGTGTAAAGTTATATAGCAGGAACAAATTTGTTTGAATTAGATCTGGTCTCATGTACATTTAACTGTGTATAGTCCATTACATTATCACTAAATTTAAATTGTTATCTTGTGGCCTCGTGGGATGAAACCTAGTACTTTGGGCATTTTGCTCACTGAGGAACAGTTTTTGCTATTGTAGCATATGAGCTTTCCAAGAAGGAAGGTAAAGTTGGGACACCCTTCCAGAAATTATAAAGAAAGACAAGGGGCACTAAATTTTGTATAGCTTCTTTTTTAGTTGAGTTCTTCACAAACAAACAAAACTTTACAGTGAAAAGCATATATATATAGACCATTTCATGAGACAATACACTTTATAGTTTATGTGGAAGAGGTGCTACAGGCATTGGGCATCACAAAATAATCAGTTTTTTCTCTTTGAATTTTGGCCATGAGGCAACCAGTAATTGAAATACCCATTAATAGTAAATCACATCTTGGCAGGTGGCAATCACAAGGTGGAGGCTAAATAGTGATTAGTAGTATAAGTGCAAACTAGCAAACGTTGGCATTCATATCCATAGGAGGAACTTTATATATCTATTTGTCATTTAAATTTTTCATCAGAACTAATCAATATAGGCTCAAAATGTTGCTACCCACACATCATGGTACATGCTCAGGCTGTACATGTTAAGAGTTTAGGCTTGGAATTGTTATCTGACAATTTTTTCCTTTCTACAGACTAGGTTATAGGGATGCAGTTCTCTGTGGTCAGTTGCTGGAGTGGGATTTCAGTTTTTATGCCGGTAGCACTGCTATGTAGTGTAGGGGTAGTCTGTGATCATTTTAGAACTGTCGAAAACGGATGCTTTTCTCGGTTGCTGTGACTGACAACCATATTGCAGGTTTGGGATGGTTGAGAAGGCAAGGAGGCACTTCACATGCCTCTGCCCATGCCCGAACGCTGCACACTACAACATGCTCCTCGAGGGCCTCGTTGGCATCGCGTGCCTGTGCCTTGACGACGGCCGCCGCCTTCTCCGGATGGTCGATGGATGATGATGACGGTTGCCCACACTCCTCTGCTGGACGCCGAGCTATTGTTGCTGTGAGTGATGCGACCATTGGCTTGTTGGGTCACTGGACCCAGCAGCGGCGCGCGCGGCTTGCTGGAGCTCCTCGTCGATGAGGTACACCAGTGATGCCGATTTGGAGTGGCCGGGAAGCAGGTCCTCGGCGGTGTGGCATGCCACAGTGACCATTCCGTGGGAAGCACTGCTGTGGGGAGCCCATCACCGTCGTCATCGCCTGCAGTACCCCCAGGGGTAGAGCTAGAGCTCAAACAAGGGGGTGCGCCACTTCAGCACTAAATTGACATAAAATTATATCCTATTAAATAGTGATAAAAATAAAATGTTAGGCTAATATATAAATTTGCAATTCATGAGCTAGCAAATGCACATCCAGCTCACGATGCACTTTTTTCTGAACATGAAAGTATGCCTGTTTGTAGGACCAAGTAGCCCGTGGGAATACGAAGTTGCATATTTGGGACAGTGCGAGAATTGTATTGGCACTAATTCTATTAGGCAAGAGCTAGTTGCATTTCTCCAAAACATCGATTTTATCATGACATGTTCAAATGGACCCTTATTTTTTCCTTAGAGTTTGCAAATTTACTTCAGATCAACTCTACCAATTTAAGAAGTCAAGCATTTTGTGAAAAATAAACTCATGTGCTTATAACTCGAGATGAAGTTAGACTAGACATGTGTATGCTTCACGGCTAACGGATACGGAATATATATAGGCCCCCTAATTGTAGTATATACTACCTCAAAAAAATTGTTATCCTAAGTCATTACCACAATTTTTAGAAGTGTTCTGCCTAAGGCAGAATGAAGCATGATGCTCGGTCGATCTCTAGCACATACAATGTAAAATGTTCATGAGAAATTCCAACAAAGATGGCTTGGGCACATTCAGTACACTAAAATTGTTCTATTTTAGAAACTTAGCTAAAAAATAATTTTTAAGGGAAACACTAAACAGATCACATGGAAATTCTCCATGCCAAAAACAGTTGGCTCCTTCCTAAAAACAATGGCCAAAACTGGCAGATCTTTTTACTTGGCAAGCATTAAATAGCACAACATTGGATGTATCCCTAGTGATGATCTCTACAGATCACAAACACAAATAAGTATGCATTTATTTAGAGATATCCACCCAACCAACTGACACTACTACAAAAATGATGAGGCGGTCACAATTTCCGGTCTCGCAAATTGGATTTACGGAGGCAGATGTTTTATTTACGCTGCCCGTCACCAAAAATCCTTTTACGGAGGCCTCCTTAAATCAATTTAAGTAGGCGGACATTTCATGAGATCCACCTCGGAAAACGGAGGTCATTTTCGGAGGTAGACCTCTTATGAGGCCCTCCTCTGTTAATCGTGGTCGAGGCCCAGCCAAAGCCCCAGTTAGGCTTCTATCGGGCTTGTATAAAAGCAGCAGCTAGGGTTTTCCTCTCAGTCTCTCTCTCTCTCTCTCTCTCTCTCTCTCTCTCTCTCTCTCCCACAGTCACGGCGCCCCTCCTCTCCCTCTCCCCCACAGCCAGCAGGCAGGCGTGGCGCCCCTCCCTCTCCCCTGTGTGGTGCGCGGTGCCTCTCCCTCTCCCTCTCCCTCTCCCTCTCCCCCAAAACCCGAGTGGCGAAGACGTCCGAGTGCGAGCGGCACGGCTTCCGAGCCCGAGCCCGAGCAGCTCCCAGCGTGGATCCAGCCTCCAACCGACCACTGGCGGTGGATGCAGCCACCGACCGCTCACTGGAGGTGGTGGGGCCGTGGATCTGGTCACCAGTAGTGGCGGGGGTGTGGATCTGACACCAACAAGCGGATCCGGCCATCGGTGGCTTCGGGCCCGTGGATCCGGCCACAAACGAGCAGATCCGGTCACCAGTGCCGGCGGCACAAGAGCGGTGTCGTTTCTAGCCACGAAGCGAAGCGGATCTGGTCATCACCAGCAAGCTCCCAGCACAAGTGTGCAAGGGTGGCGGAAGGGCAGGCGCAAAGGGAGGGTCCAACCACGCGGAAGCAGGTCCTGTCATCAGAGCCCGGCGGTGCAAGGCCGGGTGGCATTTCTAGCCACAGCGAGCAGATCCCGTCACCAGAGCAAGCTCCCAGCACAAGGGTGCAAGGGCGGTGCAAGGGCGGGTGCAAGGGCGGATTCGCCACGGCGAGTGGATCTGGCCACCGGTGGCGCAAGGTTGGGTGGTGGCTCCCGGCGGTGCACGCTGGGCGCAGATCCAGGCACCGGGCTTAGTGGGCCACTAGACTGGGTGGGCTTTTTTTTAATTTGTGAAATTATTTATGCAGGCGTGCATTTCTGCCCACCTCTGTTATTTTGATTAACCCAGGTGGTCATTTGCGGTTGCCTACGTTATCTTGATTAATGTAGACCTTTCCATGCAGGCGGACCTGTTGCACGCCTCGGGAAATCTGTTTTGCACGCACGGGATAAGTTCTCTGTAGTAGTGCTAGTGACTCCATGGCTTCAAATTCAGCAGAAGTTGATTCAGATGTGACCATCTCTGACATGAGTTCATCTGATGTCCCTGTTGATGAAATACCTCCTCCTATACTAGATGCACAAGTAGAAGAGGTTGCAATGGAACAACAGAACAAAGAGGTTGAGGTTCCCCAAGTTGATTCAGATGCAACCATCTCTGACATGAGTTCATCTGATGTCCCGGTTGATGAAATACCTCCTCCTGTACTACATGCACAAGAAGAGGTTGCTATGGAACAGCGGAACAAAGAGGTTGAGGTTCCCCAATGGAAGAATCTTTCTGGTTACAACGTGCAGGACTGGAGAGCCTTCGCTCGCAAAAG